CCCCCAGGCCCCCCCAAAGCCCTGCCCGCCACCCCCACGAGCTGCCCAAGCCCGCGGGGGGAGCCGCGCACTGACAGCGCGAAACGCCAGACCTTGTTGCATCGATCCAAGTCGGACCTGAGCGACCGATACTCGCGTGCCACGGCTGACTTGGAGCGTTTCTTCAATTACTGTGGCTTGGATCCCGAGGACGTGGGAGACGTGGAAATGGAGCGGTTCACGCGGGCCAGCTCGGACATTGTGTCCGTCAAGTTCCACAGCGTGAGCACCAGCAGCTCGGAGGGGACCCACTCGCGGCGCAGCACGGTCACCTTGGAGGAGAGGCAGGCCGAGCGCATGCCTTACGGGATCTCCATCATCGAGCGCAACGCTCGGGTCATCAAGTGGCTGTATGGACTGAGGCAAGCGAAAGAGGCCCAAAAGGTATCCAATGTATAGCAGCCGTTGGGGGGGGGCTCCAACATTGGTGGGGGGCGAGCCGCTCAAACTTTGTCCAAGTTTTTTGTTTCTGTTTGCAATTCAAGAGAAACTTTTGCAAAAATGTTGTATCTAGTATGTGTGGGGCAGTAGATTCAGGCTCCCCTCATTTTAATCCTAAGATCCTTTCCATCATGGGGGTGGGGGTCAGAATCAAGCAGAGAAGACTTGAACTGTTCCTGATCCAACCTGTGTTACCAAGAGGATTGTCAAGACACACAGTGGTGAAAAACGTAACCCAGACGTTCTTCCCCACTCACCATTTTCAAGGGGTGATCAGTCTGGTCACGGTGGCTGGGGTTGATGGGAGTCACGGTTTATTACCTTCGGATAATTATTACCTTTGAATACCTTTGTATCTGGTTGGGGAATCTGGTTTGGAGTCTTGTTGAAGCGCTATAGAAGAGGAACACCCCCTTTTCCTTCAGGAAGGGGAAAAAAAAAAGACCACCCAAATTATAGGCATTGCAAAGCTCTCCTGACTGATGTAGGTGTCTGCTAAACGCGACGATGACATCGTGACACCATTGCACCAGTTATGTCCCGTGCAACACGGTGTCTTTGTGCAAGTGACATCATGGCTGTCATGTGATCGTGCACACGATGCCGATGACGTCATCCCGTCATTTGCATCAGGCTGTTAGCACCCACATACCCTTGCTTGCTCCCCTACACCCCTATTGTCCAGGAGCAGGCACCGCCAAGGCTGCCAGTTCAGAAGCCAGGCTGATTTCTTCCCAGGGATTGCACGGCACCCCTTTACGTGCTTCGCCCTGGGAACCAATGTAGCGCACAATAGCGGCCAGCTTTAGCCAAAGCAACACCACCGTCCGGGAACAATGGAAGCCCGAACGGCTGAGTGAGCTGGAAAATCCCCACATCTATTGTCAGCCAGGTGGAAGAATGCAAACCGCCTTGGCCTGCACCCAGGAAATGCTTCCTTGGCTCCTGCCTGGCAGAGTGAGGGGCGGAATCCGTGGAGTCTTGCAAGGACCCCTTTTGCTGTAGAGGGGAGGCTTTGAGAGCCCCACAGAGGCCAGTCCCAGCTGTCAGGTGCGAAAAAGAGGATTGTGGGTGGCTGCGACCAGGTGAGGGGCAGAAAAGTATCCACAGCTTGGTGTTCTAGAGAGGCATTGGGCTAAAACGCCTTTTAGGGCAGTGTTTCTCACCCTTGGCCACTTTAAGATGGGTGGACTTCAACTCCCAGAATTCCCCAGCCAGCATGGCTGGCTGGGGAATTCTGGGAGTTGAAGTCCAC